CGTCGTAAGCGCATATATGTATACGTATGCAGGTGTGCGCGTAAGATGGTGGTAAAATCATGTGCGTCAGAGGTAGTCAAGAATTCCTACATTCTTGCGCAGGTGAGTCTGGGATGCTGATGTGGCACATTGGCCCCGTTCGCTTTTCGCCGAACAAACAGCGTGCGTGAGGATCGGCGAAATTATTATTTCAGAGAAGGTTTTTCTCGCGTGCAAAATGGAGTACGATGATGAAATACACTCACGATCGATTTATCAGTTGCAGAAAAAAAAAAGAAAAAATATGAACAAAACAGACAATGAGAACGCGGAGCATTTATAATTTAATAGTTTCTAATTATTATATTATGTAATTTTTTCTAATTTATTCGAAATAAGTAAAAATTATCTTATCGCAATCTTTAATTATTATGTTATGTGTTAATTATAAATTCGTATACGGCGTTATCACTTTATGTAAATGCAATCTAAGATACGTATTTGCCATCCACAGTTTTTTTGCATCACAAAAAATATATTGTCCGACAAATTGAATGTATTTATCTAGTCTCTTTCAAGTTTATCGTACATGCAATCATTATATTGCTCGCGTACATTCTTATAGATTACAGTTAGCTTGCTCGCCTCGTTATCACGTAACAGCTAATTTGGCAGTTAATTTAAGGAACAAAGTTAAATTACGCATCCGTCTCTATTTTAATTACAATCAAATTCCATTGAATCAAACAAAAATGTATTGCTTTAAAAGATAATAAAAGACACATGCAATCATTATAATTCGTATTTTAGACATTTTAGACATACTTAAATATATCTCTCCTTCACACATTTTTTCTAACTACTTAAGCTATATACACATAATTATTTTAAAATAAATTTTATTTATTACACATAATTTTTATTATATTTTGTCCCGATGTCTACATTTATTGTTAGACTCCTTTAAAAAAATACTTATATATATTTAATTCACGAGAGAGAAAGAAAGAAAGAGATCAGATTTATTTGCGAATACATGTATAATGTGTAATTATACATATATGCATTTATGACAACTTAGAATTAGTTCAGGATCAGTTGAAGATGCGCGCACTCCCCACCTAGTTGATGCTAGAGCAATAAACTCTAAACGATCAGGAAACGTAGAATCATGATTGCTGCCTCATGAATGTACTGCCAGTAGGCAGTCAGCTTGCACTCGAAGCGGATTCACATCGAAATGTTGGTCGATCAGGTATCGTGTTTTATTTATAACAAACTAAATAAATTAAAAGAAATTAATCTATGGAAATTTACTTTGCAAAATTAATTAATCTATAAATAATTATGGATTACTTGAAAAATGTTTGAATTTAATAGAAATGGAATTATAATATAAGTCTTAACAAAGTTATTCAATTTTGTTAGAAGAATTAAAACGAATATAAACGGAATAATATAAAATAGAAAAAGAGATTATTAATCAATTTCCAATTTTGACGATTAAGAATTTATGAATTTGTAAAGTAAAAGAGAAACAGTTTCTAACACTTAACTCTCCTTTTAATTTATTTAATTTGTTACACACACAGTATTTTTCATTAACATATCAAATAACTATTCAACGTTATCGCGTTGTTTATTTCGAAATGTTACATATAGTTTGCGAGGTCGCGGAAAGGTTTTATAGATTTTGTAGAATATCATTTCTCTAACGGGGTTTTCTACGGTCGATCTTAGAACCAGTACACAGTTTTGCACATTTATTTTAGTAACCTAGACCGACACCAAACTAATTTTTATTTACGTATCCTTTCAAACTAGAGTTAATGTTCTTAACAAAAGTATTGAGAAAGAAGTATATATTTAAATTATATACAACTGGAAATAAGATATTATTCAGGAAAATTAAAAAATATATAAATAGAAAGTAAAACTTATTTTTTAATTAATTTCAAATAAACTCTAACAGGTTTGCAAATAAATTGTAACCAAAATATTTAATTTATGGAAAATTAGCAGTTTGTGACGAATTATAATTCTTTTCGACAGTTTCATTTAGAAGAAATTGATGCAAAATCGGGAATATTCACAGATAAGGGTTTGGAATATTGATGTGTATTATATAAATAGACGTTATCGCTAAAAAAAATAAATATATGAATACACGATAGATATTTGTTTACTCAGCAAATTGTATTATAATTTCGTTTCATAATAACTTCGTACATACATATATCATGTGTTGTGTTGTGGTCTTTATATAGATAAGAGATGTTTTCTTATTTTTATTAAATAAAGAAGGGCAGCGATTAATCTCTTATTTATAGTTTATCGTACTTATCAGAGATTTACAAGTAATATAATATTATTTTAATTAAAATAATGTAACTTTTTATAGAAATATCTGTTATTGTAATTTGTTATTAATTAAAAATGCTAAAATGATTATTTATGATTTCAGTTTTTAGATTATTAAATATTGTTATAAATATTATACACATCATATATTATATATTTACATTATATACATCATCGTATGATTTAAATTATTACGCTCGTCTATTTTCTTTCATCAAATCAAGTCGACATTTCAATATCTCAAATTCCTATCTTGTCTTGCATTTTTCTCTAATTGTAAGAACCGTAAACAAATGTATTCCGATGCTGCATTGATTAGCTTTTCTTGGACGGTTTTTATCGCTACGACACTATTATAAAATTGTAATGAAAAACTTTGGAATACATTCGCAAAATGATTATATGTATGTGCATGAATTAAATATGTTAATATCTTGAAAAAAAAGAAACAAGTTTTTATCATTCGACCCTGACTCGCGTAATAAATTTCACAAGGTAGGGATAAACGTTTTTAAGTTGTGAATACATTCGATCGTTGGTCACAAAGTACTTACGGTGCTTACAAAAGAGTCGGACGTTTCATTATAAGGATGTCTCTTGATCAGGTAATGACAATGCAAATATCTCTTTTTTATTTCTGCTTGGCTTGTCGTAAGATGTATCTCGACTTTCGCATTCTTATCGTTTTGCATCAATTTTTTCAAAGTACATTGTAGGAAAATTAATATATCGATAAATTAATTTTAAAGCGAAATAAGCGGTGAAAATCGGTCAATGATATAGCATACTAATTTCGTTGGTCTCATATTGCGATCGCGCATGATATTATCGTATACATTTCTCCGAAGAGAAATTTGGGGCAGTTGGTAAATCATTATTTAATCAAAAATGAACTTGTCTGAGGAAAGTTTGAAAGTTATGGTGCAATGGCAAGAAATTTTAAAATTGTTTTTCATTGGTGTGACTTGAGTGTGAAACTTTTTCTGTATTACTTACTGATTTTTGTGTGTCGATTCTCCCTCTTTCTTTTTGAAAAAATTATAATTAAAAATTTTAAACTAGCGTATAATAACATATAATATTTAAGTCCGCAGTTTTAAATGCAAGACTCTGATTGGTAATTTTGAAGTTTATTAACCGTTTCAGAAATATTTCTCTTTTAAGATTTTAATGCAAAGTCATTCACTGACTCAAAGGTTATTTCGACATTTTCTGAGCACATTATCCATATTTATAAACAGACGTAACACATCGTTCAAATATATAAGCAAGATAATGTGATTAATAATCGCTTTTTTTATAAATAAGATTTAAGATTATGTAATATTATTTTTTAATGAATAAAAGAGATTAACGAAATATTTCGAAATTTTTGAATATTAAAAATAATAAAATATTAATGAATAATAAATATTAATGAATAATGAATATTAAAAAATAACGAGATTGTATTTTCCTTCTAGCAATTTGAGGCAGCTGCTGCAGCTGTAAAAGAGCTTACGAAACGTCCTACTGACGGAGAGCTTTTGGAACTTTACGCTTTATTCAAACAAGCTACAGTTGGCGATAATAACACATGTAAGTTCTCATAAAATAAATTTCGAAAATTTGATATAAGATATTTAATTTCGCGTATATTTTACGTGTTTAACATAATATTATAGTAAATTTTATCACATTTATGAGCGTTAAATTATATCGGAGTTATAAAATATATCAGAAATATTTACACGTTACACATGGAAATAATTATTTACTTATTTAATCAATTTAATCTTATTAAACCGTATATAACTGTAAAAAACTAATTATATTATTAGATTATATAATAATAACACAATATTTCAGCTAAACCTGGTATGCTGGATCTGAAAGGAAAAGCAAAATGGGATACCTGGAACAAGAAGAAGGGCACTTCGCAAGAAGTAGCGAAGCAAACTTACATCGATTATGCCAATCAATTGCTCGAAAAATATAAATAGATTTATCTATTAGTTGGGATAGTTGTGTTCCTGTCATAGTTATAAGCCAAATACATTTTTATATATGCGATACAGGTCACATTCGTCTAGACGCTAACATAAGTTGAACGCGTTTGATGACCAAAATTGGAACAAAAAAACTTTTTATAGAAATATCTGTTATTGTAATTTGTTATTAATTAAAAATGCTAAAATGATTATTTATGATTTCAGTTTTTAGATTATTAAATATTGTTATAAATATTATACACATCATATATTATATATTTACATTATATACATCATCGTATGATTTAAATTATTACGCTCGTCTATTTTCTTTCATCAAATCAAGTCGACATTTCAATATCTCAAATTCCTATCTTGTCTTGCATTTTTCTCTAATTGTAAGAACCGTAAACAAATGTATTCCGATGCTGCATTGATTAGCTTTTCTTGGACGGTTTTTATCGCTACGACACTATTATAAAATTGTAATGAAAAACTTTGGAATACATTCGCAAAATGATTATATGTATGTGCATGAATTAAATATGTTAATATCTTGAAAAAAAAGAAACAAGTTTATATCATTCGACCCTGACTCGCGTGATAAATTTCACAAGGTGGGGATAAACGTTTTTAAGTTGTGAATACATTCGATCGTTGGTCACAAAGTACTTACGGTGCTTACAAAAGAGTCGGACGTTTCATTATAAGGATGTCTCTTGATCAGGTAATGACAATGCAAATATCTCTTTTTTATTTCTGCTTGGCTTGTCGTAAGATGTATCTCGACTTTCGCATTCTTATCGTTTTGCATCAATTTTTTCAAAGTACATTGTAGGAAAATTAATATATCGATAAATTAATTTTAAAGCGAAATAAGCGGTGAAAATCGGTCAATGATATTATATATAATATATACTTTTGCACAAACATACTTATTCTTATAGTGCCTTCCTGTTCTCTTCCTTAATATACCAAGCATCGATAAAAACAATGCGGCTAACAAAATAAAAATGTAATCATGTCACTTTCATCGTTGTTTAGTACATTTTATGTTGTTTTATTATAAATTGCAACTAGTACGACAATAGAGAATTCATTGTATAAAATATTTCTATTTTATTTAATTTAAACGTATAAAACATTTCTATATGCTATATAATTAATTTTTATGTATAGAGTATATATTTATTTTACTGAGATAGCTGCAATACTAAAAGTTAATTCTTTATATACATGATATACGATTTTCTTTCTAACTGCTATGAATTTTATTTATTTTACTTATCGGTATATTCTACTATTATTTGATTATTTTCACTTTTTTTACTTTGATTATTAACACATATGTTTTACATCTCTGATAAAATTTTACTGATATACTGATATATGTATAGCAAAATGATATTTTGAGATTAATACAAAAAGAAGCGATTTACTTTGAAATCATAGCGTCATAGAGAGTTTTAATACTTTGCAGGTATTTTATGTAAGTGTAATATTATGTTACTTTGAAAGAGTTTATCTTATTGACAAACTTTATCAATAAATTAAAATAAAAGATGTTATTACGAGCATATTTTTTCACGTGGCATGGGGAAAATCAGCGTCTTCCCATGAATTGTCGTTAGTTCTATCGGTTGATCTCGCCGGCAATTTTAATTGTCGAATTTTACTGTGCCGCACGCCGTACGAGAAATATATAATCAAGCCTGCGATAAAACACGTAATATAATTCGATACATTCAATACATTAAGAAATTCATTAATTTGTCTTCTTGTAATACACTTACCAACTACCATCCACACGGCAAATCGTACCCATGTCATATGATCCAACATCGTCATAAGATAAATATTGATAAGTATACTGATCGCCGGCAAGAATGGTACTAACGGCACCTAATGTAACAAGCGTATAATAATAATTTAATGAATGTTATGGTTCCATAATAATGTTTGCTATTTAACTATTAATTTGTAATATTATCCCCCTCCATATTCTAATACAAAAGAAAAATATTGAAGAACATTGATAATATTATTAATTGAGATACGACAATTCTTGAGATAAGATAAGATTAATTTTAATCTTAATTTGAAACTTTAATATATATTCATATAATATTCAATAACAATGAAAATATAAAAAATATGCATGATATTGACGCCGCGGATTAAAATGTGTGATGGAGAATATTAATACAATATTAACATAAAAATCATATAGGTAGAGAAATAGGTATAAGAATATATCATACCGAGAATGTGAGTTTCTTGCCGGAAACCGGTTGAAGATAAATGAAACAGAGAGTAAGCATGAGTGCACCAGATAAAACGGCGAGTAATACTATGAAAGTTGGTTTTCCATCGCTGATCTCAGTTATATATGTTGATAATAAAACAGCGATACTAAAACAAAGGACGACTGCAAAAGAATTTAGAGAGTAGTATACATTAGATACTTTGAGGTATAATAAAATATATAAAAATACAATGAATCTCTTACTGTAACAAAATACGAGAGAGGTAACGATCTGCGCCGTAAGTTTCGTGGAATGATTTAATTTGTTCGCGTTTACCAGTTGTCTCACGACAAATATGAAAGTCCTTGGATCACGATCGTCTTTCTTCTCATATGCTTCGCTTTCTTCGTATCTACAAAAAAAAAGTATTAATTATTTTTATTAATCAATGATAGAAGCTGTAAAATCTAATTATTATATTGGTCAATTTATCTCAATTTTAGTTCAATTGACACTTTATCAATTTTCAGCTTTAATTCTTGAAAAATCAATTAAACTGTGAACGTGAAATTAACCGAATTGTTATGATTTCTCACCGTAGAATAAGTACGCAAGAGGCCACAATCGAATATGCCAGCAGAGTGCCGATGCTCATCATATTGACTAATTGTGTGAGTTCGAATATCGCCGCTAGAATGCCTGTAATACATCATTAAGCAATTATATCGTTTGATTGACCATACGAGGATAAGATATGTAGACGAACCTGTAAGAAGCCCGGCGGAAAGCGTGCCCATGATAGGAGTGTGGAATCGCGAGCTTACTTTGCCCATCCACTTGAAGATTAGTCCGTCCGAAGCCATGGCGTAGATTACTCGCGGCAGCGGAAACATCGCGCCTAAGAGACTGAAATAATTGGTATATCTTTAAAATAATTTAATAA